GGAAATAACATAAAATTTATTTAGAAAAAGGAACTCAAAATAAGTACTTCTGAAGCTTTAATTTCACGAAGACTACAGAGACTAATGAAGGAATAAATTAGTATAAGGACATGAATCAAAGAATAAAAGTTGAAAACATACAGAAAAGGAAGAGAACTAATGAAGATAATGAAGGGGGAAAAAAATCAATTTTAGAAAAAGGCACAGAAAATTTTTTTTAAAAAGTCTAACAAACAAAAGAAGAAGCTAGGAGAACCAAGAGTGTATAACATTGAAAAATTTGCAAAATTTTTAAATTATTGATTGGTTTTTTATGAATTCTTTTCTCATCTTCTTGTCCTTTTCCCCCTATATTTGGCACTACCATTGTTCTGGTCACCCAAGTTCCCAATCTTAGAGTGGTCCTCACTTCTTCATTCTCCCTCACCACATACTTCCCATCTCCAATCTGTTGTGGAAGTCTGATTAATTCTGCCTCCATGATATCTGGTCTCCCTTTTTTTTCTACTAACACAACAACCATTTAAATTTAAGTCCTTATTACCATCCAATGACCTGGTCCATTCCAAGAGCCTCCTAACCAACTCTTGGTACTCCGTCTCTCACTCTCCAGTCCTATCACCCAGAGTTACTGGCCAGCCACCAAACTGATTTGTTTAACCATGCCACTCCCCATATTACAAAGCTTCAGTGGTTTCCTGTTACTTCTGAGACAAAAATACAAATTATCTTACTTGGCATTTGTAGCCCTTCACACTTTGAGTTAAGCTTCTCTTTTTCAAGTTGATGTCACATTATTCTCTCTAACACACTGTATATTTCAGCAAAATGGACTGATTTCCCCATTCCAGACATTTCATCCCCTCCCTCTATATTATCACAATTGAAATTGAGGTAAACTGAGGCACAAAGTTCTGAGCACATTACAGTTATTGGCAAGGCTAGCAGTTACCAATAAAAGGGGTCTCTCAGTTCTCCAGCAAGCCAAAAAAACTTCAAATGAGGGCTGACAATTTTTGCAGACAAAAAAGAGGAGCATCCGAAAGCTAGAAGGCAGCATCATAGATGGGAAAATAACATGATTGGCTGGAAGTTTGGAATGCTGGACTAGCAAAAATCCTCCTGCCATCTTGTTGCCATGGAAAGCTCATTGGTGGTGTCCACTTGCGTGGCTAGTTAGTGTCACAGTGATAACAAACCAGACTTTTTCAAGGATAGCCAATGTTTCAGAGATAAACAGATCGAGACTCCTTGGCATACACCTATTCTACAAGGTTAACAGATTTCCTTGACGCAAGAACAGAGTTTAATTAGCAGAAAAAATAAACTTCTAAACTTATTTAACTCAGAGAGGGAATCTGAACTTATGAACTTAACTCAGAGACAAAGACATGTAACTTAGGCTGTATACAAAATGTCAGCAGTAATACGTAATAGAATCAATTATAAAAATGGAGACAAATCAATTTGATTTTCTCAGTATAGTTGCACAGACTTGCACAGACCCATTTCTCATTCTAGGAGTGTTACCTTTTGTAACTCCTAACTTCCCATCAAGATTCATCTCAAATACCTCTTCCTGGAAGAGACCTCTCCTGTTTGCCATTATTGTTAACCTCATTCTCTTTCTCTCCCTGATGCTGAAATTACTTTTAATTTATTTGGTATACATTTTGTGTTTATTTATCTGTGTATCTATTTATATCCAATAGAATTTAAGTTCCTTGAGGACCAGGTCATTTTCATTTCCAGGTTGACATTTCATTGTCAATAAAGTATAAGTGCTAACCTGGCAGGTAGAACTAAGAAAAGCAACAAAAGGCTGGCAAGAAAAGAAGTATGAAAGAACTCCCTCTAATACAGGAAGTAAAGGGATCATAGCGTCACAGAATTAGGTCTCTTCAGGGATCTCAAGTTATAGAATCCAACCTCTCATCCAAAGCAGAAATTTCTTCTACAAGTCCTCCAGAAGTGATTTCTAGCCTCTTTTTGATGCATTCCAGGAAGTTAAAAAAGGCTTTATGTTATGAAAATATTATTAGGCTATTTATTACTAGCATATTATTACTGTAATAGTAATAATTACGATCATATGCAGTGCTTCTGAAAATGTAAAATATTCACTTGAGAACCCCAGGGAAAGGGAAGGAGAACTGTTCTGCTGTTTAAGGGGAGCAGAAGAGAGTTCTTGACTTATGCTTAGGTAGACATTGGAGGAGAGAGGACAGAAAGAAGGTATGGAGAAACAAGATTAATGACGAAACTGTGCTCCAGATGGGGTAGCCTATAGATCCTAAAATAATCTGGTGAAAAGTGACATTAGTTCCCTTACTCCCAGAAGCTCCCAGGGTATAGGCCTCCAACAGGTTCCCTGTCCTTCCAAATGCCTCCCTACTTCATGGCTCATCTTTGCCTTGATATTTCTTTTATGGTATGTAAGGCTTTTCATCCCCCAATCAGAGAGAAGGGTGAAAGTGAAAGTGTTAGTTGAGATCGTATATTAAAATGGATTCGCCTTAGAGTGAATTACATATATATAATATAAATATAAATTGATGATGGCACCAGAGCCTTCTCTGTTTTCAGAGAAGACTGATGGCATCGACATCTTCTGTTTGGTAGGGAGAGGGTAAAAGAAGACAGAAGGAACTGGATACCTGGAGGAAGAGGGGGGTAAACATTGCAAAGGAACAGAAAAGAAGCAGCTTGGAAAGGGAAGGTAGTAGATGCAAAAATGACATAAGGAATATAACATTTTAAAGATGTCACATCTTTGCCTGGGGTCATTCCTTAGAGTGTGCTCCAAAAAAAGGATCTATCAGTTGCAATTCCACCATTAGCACATGTATACCAGTTTGGTAGATGTTATATTATACTTCATAAGTGTTAAAAAATATATATGTTTCTTTAGGAAAGACAAGCATGTTTTCCAATAACTATTGCTCATTTGTGATTTTGTTTTGTAAATTGCCTTTTCATATCCTATGACCATTTGTCCCTTAGAAAATCTGTATCTCATTTATGACTATGTCAGTTACTTAGACATCAGTTAATAATACATCCAGTTACTTACACATATCATATGTAAAGTTTGAAGCTATTATATTTGCTGCAAATGTTTCCTTATTTATTTTTTTAACCTTGTTCTATTGTTTCGTGTGGTACATTTTTAAAAAGTTATATATGAAGGTACCATCCTCCATGACTTTTCCTAAGTCATACTCTATTGGATGGTGATTCATTTCCCGGAGATTCCAAAGGTCAGTAATATATCCCCTGTACTGGGCTCTCCCAATTACCCAAACTCTCCTAAATGCTTCTCTCTCTCTCTCTTCTCTTCTCTCTCTGATGTTGCCCCCTCTCTGAGAAGTCCTCTCCTCCCACGCTTTCTGTGCAGCTGCAGTATCTCTCCTCACCTCTCACTTATTCCCAAGAAAGAGCTGACCACAAATGTAACACAGTTATTCACTGCCAGAGCAGGTGCAGAAACTCAGAATCAGAGCCAGCAAGTGACATTACTAAGGGCTAATATATACTAAACCACAAATCCTACTGAACCCTGAAGAAAGAGAAATGGCTTCCCAAGGGGAAGCCTTCCCAGCAAAGGGTTCCCTTAGCATCAAGGACTTTTTTGAGGAGGAAGAAATCAGAAACATTGGAGCCTGTCCATCAGAATGAGGTGAAATTGAGCAAGGAAGAGGCCCCCACAATACATAAATAATACTTTGCCTATATATTACTTTTACAACTGTTACCTTTTATTTTCCAGAATATCTCATTTTGATGCCCCACACCCAACCAAGCTCTAAGCACAAGGGTTCTCAACCTGAAGTCAGTGAACGTTTAAAAATATATTTTGCTAAATATATTTCAATATAATTGGAGTTTTGTAATCATATGTTTTCAAGCATTTAAAAACATTATTCTGAGAAGGAATCCATAGGTTTCATGGATTGCTAAAGGGGTGCACCATACAAAAATGTTTAAGGACCCCCATCAAGGATGAAAGGAATCAGAGTGAAAAGACAAATCTTTTCTCTATTTTCTGACTTTCCCATCCTAGTGCTCTCAATACAGTCTGAGGAAAGCTGTCTGTATAAGTGGCCAGACTGGTTTGGGAATCAAGCCTGTCTGCTCTTCTATCATGCCCTTACTTATGGCCAGACAGAGATTTAAATAAAATGAGCAGGTGGAGACAGCAGCCCTAGATCTGGTGCCCTGAGCATTAGTTCTCTCTAGAATTATACAAAAGAGTCTAGGAACTAAAATGAGTCACAAGCAAGGAGCTAATCATTCTTAGGTATGATAGGCTCAAGGAAAGAATACATAACTGGCAAGAGAGGAAATCTAAGATAACACCTTCTTTCTCAGTAACAGGTCATGGTAACTTTGGTGAGCTATACCAGTTTAGAAGCCAGAATGTCTGTTGAGCTAGAATCCTAACAGGTGACCCAAAGGAGGAAAAAGGAAGTTATAGGATCATAAACCCACATAATCATAAGCCCTTATCTTGCAGGGTCCTCCAGATCATACCACCCCAGATTCTGCCTCTGAATTTAATGATCCCTCTCTCAATCCAAATAGAGGGCAGAATTCCCAAGCTAGTGGATGGTGGGGCAGTCAACAATTGGCTTAAACTGGAAATAAAGAAATTCACAAGAGCAACTCCATCACCAGAAACCAAGTTGTCCATATGAGAGACAGTGCCATATGGTAGAAATGGTACCATCTCTGGAGTCAGAAGACCTGAGTTCAAATCTCACCTCTGGTGCTTACTACCTGAATGACTTTGGCAAGGCATTTCTCTTCCCCTATCCTCACTGTCTTCATCTATAAAATAATGAAGTTGGATTAAATATCCTCTGAGGTGTCTTTTGGCTTTACATCTATGAGTCTATGATCATTGGTCACAATATGCAATGAAAGCTCTAGTTCTCACCCCCTAAAGAGAAGTAACTTAAAAAAAAAAAAGAATGGACATAGACACAGCTTTAGCAACTTCATCTGGGACCAGGTATGTTTTATTGAGAATAGCAGTGAAGTGGCATAACATCTGGGACTCTTTTTGTACTTTCCTCTGAACACACACACAAAACATATCCCCAAAGTGGAGGGGAGGCTTGGAGTGATACCCACTCACAGTCTAGTCCCAGAGACTAAAGGCTTGAGGGAAGGTATGCACCAGTGGTAGGAAAATGCAAAGGGATGGTGGAAGAGAAAGGTGCTATTTCAGGCACTTTGTCAAGGAAGAGGAAGTAGTGAGGGCAATAAGACAGCATATAGTGGCATGGAGGGATTCCCTTTTCTCCAAAATCAGACCCGATCCTACACATAAGCATCAAAGTGCACAGGCACATAGACTTCACCCTCACAGGCCACAATGATTTGGTTAGTAAGATAGGAAGCTTAATATAGGCAGTTGGGGTATTCAGAGGATCCAGTCTGAACGCAGTTGGTGAGAGTCATAGCCGAACTACTTTGGTGACAGTTGGTCTGCCCATTCTTGCAGCTGATGTTAGGCTCCTGGCAGACAGCGTCGACTGTTTCCTGAGTCTCATGTATGAAAGTATTGATAGACTTGCATTTGTCTGTTGTCATGTTCCGGGCCTTCATCATGAGGTTGCAGTACTGGCTGTTATTGGCGGTCGAGTGCTCTGTGTCCATGTGCTGCCGCTGAAACTTCTCTGCAGCAGACTCTTTGCCAGCTGATAACTGGGCCAGCCCCACTAGGAACAACCCCAGCAGGACAAGTACCATATGGGAATTCTTCAGAGCCATAGTGGCCTCACTTACCAACAGAAGCCTACCCAGGAAAGAGGGGGAAATAGTAAGGAAGAATTTTTCACCTTGGGTGAAAAATTGGATTGAAAATCCCAGTCCCATGTTTCAACGGCACACCAACTCTCCAGGCTAACTGGCCCTACCCTAACTGTCCTTTCCCTGAAGAACAGCCTTTCTTCCAGCCTTGTCAGACAAGAAGGTCAGTTTTCTTATGTGTAGAATGAGGGGAGTGGGCTAGATGGCTCTCTAAGATGGTTTCTGACACCAGTGGTCAGTCAGTGTATGAATCCCATTGCTTGAAAGACAACCCCTGTCATACCCCTTTGTCTCCTCTCCCTATAACTTGTTTCACTATCTGAGGTAAATTATCCCCAATCATTATTCCTTGGGATGGTGGGACCCAATTTAATAAATATATATGTATGTACATACATGTGAATACCCACACATATATATCTATATTCCTCATGAATAAGTTTATTTGTAGGACAAGATGATAAGTAAAATGAAGGAGTTGGACTAAATGAATTCTAACCTTTCTTTTTTTTTTATTGAGACAATCAGGGTTAAGTGACTCACCCAGGGTCACAACAGCTAGTTAAGTATCAAGTGTCTGTGTCTGGATTCAAACTCAGGACCTCCTCAATCCAGGGCCCTTGTTCTATCCATTGTGCCACCTAGCTACCCCTGACTAGATGAATTCTAAAATCCCTTCTAGCTCTGTGATTCTATGAATCCATTTGGAGTGAGTGTGAGTGAGTGTGTGTGTGTGTGTGTGTGTGTGTGTGTGTGTGTGTGTGTATCAGAGAAAGGAGGTGACCCATTTGTGCATTCTAAAAGTCCCTTGGGAACTCTCAGAGAGGAAATTCCCTTTACCAGTTTGTGTCAGCACCTGCCCTGCAGGTTACTGTCTTAGAGAGCTTCTTTGGGCACAGAGAGGTTAAGTCACTTTCTCAGGGTCCCACAGCCAGTATGTGTCAGTGGTAGAACTTGAAACCATGTCTTCCTGACTCTCAGGCTGGCTCTCTCTCCAATATACAATAATATTTCTCTTTTTGCATGTGCATATAGCACAGGTCAAATTATAGCCTCCGACTTGCAGCATCTAAATGTCATGAGTGGACCTGACATATCCCAAGTACTCTATATCATAGAGGCTAGTCCTGGTCACCAGTAACATGAATCAATTTCACTACGTTCCGAAGAAAGATACATGCCCTCTAAACTTGATTACTCCCCCCCTCCTGAAGGTAAAACCTGTTTCTTCTTTCTCTCTCTTATGTCTGGCATTAAGTTTCCTATTCAGCCTTCTCCTAGTACATCCCATCCATGATATTCCTTATTTCTGAGTCCTCAGAGACTACCCTTCGAGAATATCCAGTGCCTTACTTACCCTTGATTTTTGTTCAGTCTCTGGGTTGAAATGAATATTTGTCCCAGTTCACTTCCCTCTCCCCATGGAAGGCAGGTCTTATATAAGATACAAAAAAAAAAAGAAGGGGTTTGCCCCCTGGGAAGGAAGAGAGGGAGGAGCATGGCAGGCCCAGATTCAGGGAGGAGTTAATAGAACCTTTCTCATTAGTTCTGTCTTGACAGATCTGTCCCTTCACAGAAATCAGACCCTAAAGTTTCCAGTAAGGGAGCAAAGTCTAAGAATCTCATCTACACTGATTAGCTTTTTGCTATCAGTTTAGCTTTTAGAATTCACAATGTCTCTCGGGAGAGGGATTAGGGAAGATAGATAAATAGGAAATAAGATCTGATAAGCTTAAGAGGAAACTCCATTTCTCTTTTTTTATGACTTCTATAGTCAGGATCTACATGTAATTCTTTGGGTGTTAGTTTTAATCTGGTCTTCTGGAAGGTGTTTTCACTTATTTCTTTGTTTCTGGCAAGTATTATTTCAGTTTATTATTATTATTTACTTTCTTTTAAAAAAAATTATCAATGCTTTTTATTTTTCTTTTAAACTATTTCCCAAAGAAGGTACTTGAGAACCATATAGGATCAGAGATTTAGAGACAGAAGGGATCTTTGAGTTCATCTAGCCGAACTCTGTCATTTTATAGTTGAAGAAACTGAAAAGGCAGAGATATTAATTGACTTGCAAAGGAAGTAGTAAATGTGAACAGCGAGGTGGTGCAGTAGATAGAGTACTGTCCCTGAAGTCAGGAGGACCTGAGTTTAAACCTGGCTTCAGACATATAACACTCATTATCTGTGTGACTCTGGGCAAGTCACTTAACCCAAATTGCCTCATTAAAAAACAAACAAACAAATAGGAAATAGAAGCCATACCCTCTGATTTCAAATCTATCCCTCTTTCCTCTACACATCCATTTGCCTGTGGTTGGCAATAAATAAGCAGATGTAGCAAAGATCCTTCTTTGGAAGGGGCTTGCCAAGGCCAACCATAGGGGGATACCAAGGGGGTATGGCCTATGTTCTCATGCCAGCAGCCAAGCACATTATAGCTCAAATTATAACAATGCTTCAAAAGATTCATTATATCTTTGATTTAAATACACTTCCAGTGACACAGATGACATTCTATATAATATCTTACCAGATAATTGTATAAGTTGCTTTAGCTGAAAAAAAATCATCAACTTTAGGTTGTCCCTAGGACCAAATGCTTAGATGTTATTCATTGGGGAGGAGGAAGATTTAAGGAGGGGAGGATACAGGAGTGAATGGAGTCCAAAAGAATAAATAGCACATCTGACCCATCCCACACCTAAGCAAGATCTCCCTTCCTGTTTGGCCGACTTTCTAGTGATGACCTCTCAGGATTTAGCTAAGGTCGATTTCAAATAATTCAACACACCATCCATCCCTGGACCTATTCTTTGATCCATTTGGTCTTGCCTACATTTTCACTCTTATGGCCTAACCTTCACAAAGCTATGGTCATCTCCATGATAAGATGAGCCACCTGAGTGGGGCTTTAGCGTAGATTTTATAGAGGTAATTAGGTCAACATAAACATCAAATACAGCCTTGAAAGAGATAAAGGAACCAAAAAATAGGTAGAGTAAATGCCTATGTGTTGGTGAAGGAAAAGTGTGAGCTTAAAAAGGAAGGCCCATTTTTCTGATTTAAGCAGGAATCTATGTGATGATGAAAGCTATATGAATCATTCTCATTATTATTATTATTTTAAACATGAACTGGTAAAGTTTCCTGGATTTGGAGTTGGAGTTCAAATACTGACTCTACTACTTACTATTTAATACTAGCTTAGACAAGCTACTTAGCCTCTGTGGCCCTCTCTTTCCTCATTTGTGAGATAAAGACTAGATGATCTTTCCAATTCCAACTCTAAAATCCTGTCCTCCTCCATTCTATTAAGCCTTCCAGCTGCACACCTGGGTCATTTCCCAACAGTCTGGTAGAAATAGAATGAGATCTCCATACCCATGGGGTGGGGTAATTTTCTTAATTTTCCATTGGTGTGCAATCCCCCATGGTAGCAGCTGTGTGTGTGTGTGTGTGTGTGTGTGTGTGTGTGTGTGTGTGTGTATGCACGTGTGTGTGAATAATCTATGAATAGATTATTTCCTCATAGTACCTAGGCCAATGTCTCTTTTCTTTCTATAGGAACAGGGGCCAAGCTTCAGAAAATTACCCAATGTCAGCTTTATGACCATGTATGGTTATAACGGGGAAAGGTGATCACAGTTCCCCAAGAAGGCTGTGTGGACATAATTAGGAGCTAATATCTTCCAATGACTCACTCAGTTTTTACTTCACTATGAGCATTTGGATGTAGTTCTGAAATTGTCATTCATTCATTCATTCATTCATTCATTCAACAGACCTACAATGTGCCAGTCATTGGGACAAAAATGAAACAGCTCCTGCTTTTTGAAGCTTACATTCCATTGGGGGAAATAACATAAACTTATCTGAGTAAATGCAACATGGATACCAAATAAATACAACATGATTTGGGGAGGGGAGGAGCAGGAAGGAGAATCAAGGAAGAGGTAGATCAGAATAGCATTCATATAGAAGGTAACATGAGTTGAGCTTTGAAGAAAGCTAGGGACTCTAATAGGAGGTAGACGTGAGGAAGAACATTCTAGAAATTAAACTGCCCCCAGCTATCATATGCTGGCCTTCAGCTGTTCAAATTCTCCAATACCATTTGCTGTCTGTAGTATCTAGCAAACCTCTTCCTTGAAACCTGTGCGTTAAAGTTTTGTTCATATAACCTAAGGCCATGATAGCTGTACTAAGCAAGGTGGCCAATCAAAACCAGCAGAAACTTTTGAGTGTTGAGTAAGCCTTTTCTTTTTACTGACTTTCCATGGCTCTCATTCACTTTCTGGACCAAGGAAATTATTTGATTTGAGACTAGAAAATTCCTTTTATCTCTTTTCAGGTCCCCGATTATCAGTTTGAATCCCCTCAAACTACTCCAAGGACTCCATAAAACAAAAGGATTTCCTGAGGCCCCTGTAATGCTTCTGGCTGCAATGCAAACAAGAGAGTTAGATGAAGCCAAAAGAGCTATGCACCTAGACTTAGATCCCTTCATGCAAATTGCAGACTTTATCAATACCTTCCAGCAAGAAAATGTTTGATATTTCTTTACTCTTAGCTACAAACCTCCACAGCTATAATGGAGAGAATTTGGGGGAAATTACTTGGCTATAAAAATGCATTAATAAATCATCTTTTAGACACTATGGGGACAGGGCCAAAATTTCCCATAATTCTAGGCCGTAAAGCTAAATTTCCAGGCTTTCAATGTTTTCTCACTCTGAAAAGAGCATAGGAAGGTGAAAAGAAACAAACTCTAGAAAAATTTGGGGCAGGTGAGAAAATGGACTAATAGGGATGAAGTAGGAAGATCAGTGTTTAAAGGTTGATTGAATTTTAAAAAGGGGAGAAAGCAATCCAGAAGGCTATAGAAAGCATCACACTTAGCCAACTTCTCTCCTTTCATGTGTCCAGCTTAATCCTTAATTTCTTCCATGCCTTCTTCCACACTTTTCAGCTAATCAACCCTATGTCCAAACCAAAGTTAATAATATAGGTCATTGCAGGATCAAGTACAAAGCCAAAAGTTAGGCAGAGCTCCCTATCAGAGGCTCACTCCACTCCAGCTGTTCTCTTTCACTTCTTTTTGGTTTCAGCCACTAAGGACCTTGTGTTCTAAGCATTTGGATATAGAGAAGATTATGGGTAGTTAGGTGATGGATAGAGTGCTGGGCCTGGAGTCAGGAAGACTCATCTTCCTGGGTTCAAATCTGGCCTCAGACACTTCCTAGCTGTGTGACCCTGTTACTTAACCCTGCTTGCCTCAGTTTCCTCATCTGTAAAATGAACTGGAGAAGGAAATGTCAAGCCACTCCAGCAGTATTGCCAAGAAAACCTCAAATGGGGTCACAAAGAATCGGCAAGGACTGATATAATTTAAATGTTTCCGTCTTATGGGTATTTGAGCCTTATCTCTGATTGAAGAATGAAAGACTTTGACCACTCTTTAAAAGGATTTCAGGTACAGACAGCAAATGGCTATTGCAGTGTGTTCTCCCTGTTGTTGTCCTAATTGTAGGAAGGAGGAAGGAGAGACTAGATGACACTTCCTAAAAGCTCACTCTCAAGGTTGGTTTTCTGATTTGGGCATCAGAGTGTGAGACCAGGAAAGGAAGAAGGATGAAAGAGTCCAGCTGCAAACAGATGAGGAACAGTGGAGTCTAGGGTTGCAGCCTAGCTTAGAATAGCCTAGAATAGCTAGAAAGCCTGAGTTCAGGTTCTGAGATTCACAGACTCACCTAGAAGGGACCCTAGAGGTAGGTCATTTAACTCAGCGGTATCATACTCAAATAAAAAGAAGGCCACTAAACCCTACATGAGTATACCTGCTGGCTTCATACTGACTTAGAAAACCGCATGTAAATGGTATCTATCTTCTATTATATTTTTATTTATTTAATTTATTATCTATTTTTATTTTATTTATTATTAATTATTATTTATATTAAATTTATTATTCAAATATTTCCCAATTACATTTTAATCTAATGTTGCTGCTGCAATGCCAGTGGGGAGGTAAGTTAGACACTTCTGTTAGTCCAACTCCCTTATTTTACAGTTGAGGAAAATGAGACTCTGAGTAGATAAATGACTTGCTCAGAGTCACACAAGTATAAGTGGCAGAGAAAGATTCAAACTTAGTTCTTGGGACTCCAAGTTCCTTTCTTCACGCTACAATATACTATAATAGCTCCCTCAGGAAGCAGGGTTTTGAGAGGCCAACAAAAGTCCAGACTCTTGGATTTGGGCTACAATAAATTTCCAATCTTCAGATTAGGTGCCTACTTTCTTTGCAAGTGAGATTATATAACAGGTGATGTCAACAAAGTGGGTTTCACAAACCTAACCTGACCTCTCCTTTATCCTAACACCTTCTCCGTGACACTCCCCCCCCTTATCACTCAGCCTCAAGAGCAAAGTCTCAATGT